CGGGGTCTCAGAACTGGCATCGTCCGGTGTAGTTGCAGATGGCTGAGAAACGGTCTCGACCTCTGGTAATTCGGGATCCTCACCCGATTTCGTTTTGGAAGCCTCCTCGATATGAGGCTTGATTTTAGCAGCCACCGTCGGCTCAGAAAGTTTGGTGACCTCGACGGCTTTCCTAGGTCGGACCGTCAGTGCCGAGGCATTTTCCTCTTCTTCGTCTCTCAGTGTTTGGACCGAGTCCATCGTGAGAGCGATTACTTTCCTCCTCACCCTTCGAGGTTTGGGCTTGGGGTCTTCATACTACGAGGCAGTTTTCCTCTTCTTGTCTTCCCCCGGCTTTGGAACCGGGGACTTGGTTTCTTCTTGGTCACTTGAAGGCCTCAAAATGGCATCCTTGGTCAGGCCTGCATGAAAGAAAATTAATGATGAATGGAGTATAAAAAGTGTTTCAGAACATGAAAAAGGAGATCCTTACCGTGGTTCTTGGCCTCCCATCTGCCCTTTGCCAAATCACGCCATGCGCGTTCGACATATGTGGAAGTTGAGGCTAACTTCCGAACCCAATCTTCGAGGTCAGGTACCGCTTGAGGCATCCAAGGAATAGCTGCATGTCGAAAGGGGATATCAGGCGAAGTCGAAGAAGGTACGAAGAACAAAGTTTAAAATATCACTTATGGTTGAAGTTCCACTCCTCAGGGAACGACATCTTCTCTTCTGGGATAATGTCGCAGGTCCTCACCCGTATAAAATGGCTCATCCAACCCCGATCCTTATCCTCGTTGATGCTAGAGATCAAGGCCTTCGTTGCCCAGCGTTGGAGCCTGATTAGTCCTCGGTAGATTCGAGGCCGGTACAACCGCATGAGGTGATTTAGAGTAAACTCTAGCCCCTCGGCCTTGCTAGAGAAGAAGCGCAGCATGATTACTATGCGCCATAGAAAGGGGTGGATTTGGCTGAGGGTGACCTGATATCTTTTACAGAGATCAATAATCACTGGGTTGAGGGGACCCAATACGAAGGGGTAAGTGTAAACACTTAAGAACCCCTCCACATAAGCGGTGATGCTCTCTTCGGGAGCAGAAATTTGCACCACGACCTCGGGACCCCAGTTGCAGTCCCTCTTCACGGCCTAGAGGTGGCTCTTCGATATTGAGCACATGTACATTGACACATGCTCACATCGGCCCAGGATCGATGAAGGGTTTTCGACCTTGAAGTCAGATTTTATAGTACACGGGCCGGGAACATATTCATGGGGAAGCGGCTCCACCGACGCCTTGCCGCCGGATGGACGGGAAGAGGAGCAAGAAGCTTTCTTCTTCTGCGGTACAGTCTTTGAGGTTTTCACCATTTGTATAAGTAAAGAAGAGCGAAGAAAGACAAAAAACTGGTGGTTTCGGTGCTAGCGACGGTGGCTCTACAGACGGCGAAAAGGAGGAGACGAAAAGAGTGAGAATACTTAGAGGTTTGATTAGAGCAAAAGTAAAGTTTGATTCAATGAAGGAGCGAGTATTTATAGGTTCACGACGACGGTTCGGTGGCGTTAGTGGCCGACCGCTAACTGACAAGCATTAATGATATGGGGAACTGAACTGACGGGAGGTTTCGATCACATCCGTCACTTACGTCATAAGGACGACGTCATGATCGAGGTTTCGGAAAATCAAGGCTCAAACCGTTTCTTATCATTTTATTCCAAGAAACGCGAGGACTATCTGTATATGGTTGAAATCGGGCATATCAGATTTCATAGGCACGAGGAGCTGCCTCGAGAGTAAGCTCGTAATAGACCAGGCTCGAGCTCAATGGCAGAGTATGGAGCATGAAGATTGAAGTGCTCACTGAAGATCAAGACCGAGCATGACCGACTTCGAGTAAGGCGTAATAACGGAATGGCGAAATGTTAGCAACCGACCAAAGATCTCCGCGAAAATTCCGGAACAGATCGAATCAAGCGGTTATTGACGCCAATCATGGGATTTGTTTCCGTTATAAGAATTGTACCTTATTTAGGATTCTTTTACTATATAAAGAGGGACCCTATTTATTTGTACTGGGTATTCACTGAGAAACATATACAAAAAATGTTGCTCTCTATTTCACTTACTATCTATTACTGTTCATCGTTGTTTATTTTTCTGTTCTTTACTGTTCTCCTTATCCAACCTCGAGATCATCTCGAATCGGGGTCGAAAGCGCTGCTAGAACACTGGTTTGATTTATTTTATCATTAAGATTATCTATTCAATTCCTTGTTTATCAATTGGTATTGGATTAAATCACGTATTTTTAAAACCACTAAATAAGTTTAATTGTTACTCGAGTTTTAGGGTAAACATAAATCCTAAAGGAACATTACTTCATCCCATTAGTTACATCTATCCCCGTTTTAAATTATATAGTCCAAATAGCATTAAAGTATTGTACTGTAATTAACTTTTTAAATGATCTAAATAGTATAAAATTTTGCGAACAACCCTTGCCTTCCACTCTTTGTTCTCTCAGGTCAAACTAAGCAACTGAAAAGGAAAAAAGTAACCCAAAATCTAGGAGAAGTAAAACGATCCCTCTTATAACTAACAGAAGACTAGTAGACAACAAGTTGTAAGTCTGTAACTAGTCATATACATATGATCTTAGTTACTCAGTACTAAGATACTCATGAATATAGCCCAACCTACTTTTTCAGTCACCTCTTGAGTCTTGATAATTAGCTGGAGTATCCCTTATAAAACATCAAACTTATTGCATCAAATATGGACTAAACAACCCCAGTTGCGAGCTAGTATGGTGGCGGTGGGGGGCGGTTCAAAGGTGGAGATGGACCATACGGATCATAATAAGGTGGAGGACCTTGAGGAAAAAGACCAGGTAGTCCAGGAGCAGGTGCTGGTCCTAGGGGTGGTGCAGGGGACGGCGGCGGCGGCGGAGGAGGAAAAAGTGGTGGTTCGGTATGTACACCTGGAGGCGGAGGAGCAGAAAATTCATTGAGAAATACATGAGGAGGAAAAGGTGGTGATGCAGTATATAGACCTGGAGGTGGCGGAGGCGGAGGCGGAGGCGGAGGCGGCGCCAAATTCTCCGGGGGTGGTGGCGGACCTGCAGGTGGTCCTGGTGGAGAATGACTCCGATGGAATGCCATAATAGGAGCAGTAGTGTATAGTAATTGTGTTATAATTATGCAAATATATGCAATGAAACAAAGATGGCGAAGAAACAAGAGTTTAAATAGGAAAGAAGTTTTCTGGGGAAGCTGTGAGACACGTCATCATTATATTGGAATAGTAGTTTTAACATGGGAAGTAAAATTAGGTAGTTGAGAGCTGAAACGTGTTCCCTTCAGTCAGATACAAAGGTCAAGACTACAAAAATATGAAGATTAGGTTTGTGATAAAGATGGCCATAAGTATCTGCTCGGATGACCATTAAGTTCTCATTTTTGGAAATACTCATTTGATTTGCAATTCCCAATGTGAAATGTCTTCTGTTAAACATCAAGTTTTTTATAGACATCAAGTCTTCCCTCTGTAGAAGAGTTAACCCAAATAATTACTCACAATCTCTTAAATTAAAAATAATATACAGATATATAATATATGTATAATTATGTATAGCATATTTATATCGACTAGAAAAGGTAAATATTAAATCTGGTCGGCTCACATTAAATCTGGTGGAATATTTGTTTTTGTATTTTCGCTCTTTTTTGGGCCAACCGAACACATGTTTGCGCCGTTGCTGATGCCCGATTGTGAGAAAGCCCGTAATAGTGCTTAATGGGCTATGGCACTTGAAGATGAAATCTTCAAAACTAGTTATCCTATAGTAGTTTTTTTATTTTTTTGGGGGGAATTTCTACATAGTATAACCACCTCCAAAATAATAGTGAAAAAATATACTATATATTTTGTTTATTAATTTGTAATATATGTTATAATATACTTATTTATAATAATCAGTATATATCTTTTATATATTTGGCTAGCAACAATAATTATTTTTGGCAGCTGGCCGAATGTGTTAAAAGCCCTTTTTTGGTATATTAAATTTGGCCAAACCTTATTGGTTGAGATTATACTTAATACTTATCGGCGCGCTGGTATTTAAAGTAATGCAATAAACACATTACATGCATCTTTCATATGTACCTTTATCACTAATCATGGTTAATTAATATGTAATCACCGGGTGCTGATAAGATTTTTTGGTTTCAGACCCGCAAGCCATGCTTCTTCGCAAGGTAGGGATAAGGCTGCGTACGTACTACCTTCCCCAGATCACACTTGTGGAACTACACTGGGTTGTTGTTGTTGTGGACCCACAACCCATGATAATTGCCTTGTGAAAAATCATATCAGCCCAAATCAACAAGTTAGAGAACTTAACATACTGGGGAAAAAAAAAAGTAACATACATCAAACATTAAAAGCCCTTTTTTGGTATATTGAATATGGCCAAACCTTATTGGTTGAGATTATACTTAAAAAACTACAAGTGTTACATTTATTTTTGAAAAAATATAATTTTTAAATCAATGTACTTAGATACACCATTAAGTTTAACCCAACTTAACTCGAAACTATAAAATGTGATTAAATGTTATGATAAAGCTAGAGGTGGAGCTACATTATGAAAAATATTTGGTAAGATATCTTACACATCATATGTTATAAAGCACGTATATTGGTTGAAATTCTAAGTCACAAACTAAAGTTTATATCTAATTTATAGAAATGTATATATTTCGAATCAATATTTTTATAACTCTTCTAAGTTTAATCCGACTAGCTCGAAGGAGAGTAAAATTATTTGATTTTACAGAAAGAAAAATGTTTCTAAAACACTGTTTAAGAATCTTTTTGGAAAAACAAGAACATACAAAACTATCAAGAAAAGTTTGCAACTTCTAGGGTCTCCATTAAACTCAAAATGTAATCATCATTTGTTCTACTAGAGAGAAAGTAGAATTTGATGACCACTTGAAATCTACATGAGTCGAATACTGATGGTATAAATATCCTTTTATTATTCTCATATAATATTATTCAAAAGTAGAAAATGCAGAAATACATTATCTAATTGAAATCTATATAAGTCGAATATTATGGAGACATATATGGAAAGAGCTCAGTGTCCACTGGCTCATAACTCATATCACATTGGTTTGAATTTTGCTAATTCGAACGGTGTTCCCTCTTCTTCAATTAACTTCGGTATTGCCCCCCAAAAAAACGCACTCAAACATGTCAGCTGTTTGTAATTGTGAAACACTGAAATAAGAATGCTGTCTTCAATTGTCCTGTCCATCTTGAATCTGCCTCTTTCAATTCAGCTATCTTCCCATGGTTTGAACCCACACGGAGTCAACTTTACCATTGCTCTCGCGGCTCTCCTTCTTCCTATTCATTGAAAGAAAAAAAATAATGGCGTCCGCTGGAAATTGCTGTTAGACAAATCTATTGTAGAACCAAACTTGCAATTGGTTTTTATGCATCTTCACCAACAGCAAAGTCAAAGGATGTGGAAAAACCTTTAATATCTTTCTGTGTCCCGTGAAAACTAGGGTTGATATTGCTGTTTTGGAATTTATTCAGCTGCAACATCATGAGAAAAGTGAGGATACTTGCAAACTTTTACTCCTTCCGGATAGATAATTAGTTAACCTTAAAGCTACAAATTGTTAGAAATAAAGTGATTGAGAGAGCAAAAGACTTGACCAGTACAAATTTTCTATTGTTTGAGGAACTATTGCGCCATTAATTATTTTCATATGATAAACAGGATGTTTCCAATGATCAACAGCTCATATACATCCACAAGAAAAAAACAGTACTAGTAATTGGGCTTGTGGCTTGATTGAACCATACAATTTATCATCGATAAGAGGGTGCAGGCACATACCATGAATTTCTAAAAAAAAAAGGCAGTCCAGTGCACGAAGTATCTCGCGTTTACGCAGGATCTGGGAAAGGGCCGGACCCAAAGGGTGTGATATAGGCAGTCTACCCTAATACAAGTATCAATGGATGATTCTACGGCTCGATACCACAAATTTTTCTTCTCTGATATTTAATTAGTAATTGAAGCCTCAACAACTGATCAATCATTAGGGAAAAAGAGAAAAACCAAGAAAAGGAATTCATGTAAAACCCTACCATCTGCACAAGCATAAACACAATACAAGAATAGTCTTGCTCTTTTTCCTGCTTGATAAGGTCACCAATCAGTCAATCACCCCAAAAATGACACACCGGGAGTAAGATATGGATTTGAAGAAGGAATTAATGTCAAGAAATTAACATTTGATTTGCTAAATTGTCATGACCAACAAATCAAGTGAGAAATCATTAGAACACAGCACAATTCCTGGAAATTTAGGGTTGGAAATACTAAGAATACCTAGTCAATACATGAGGGGCAAATATTAATGTGACGTCCTACTGCAATGATAGAATGAACCATTTAATGATCTTATAATTTTCACTCAAATAGAAATTCAGAAACTCTTTAATCTCTAATCTACTTTTAAAGAAACTTAGAATAAAGATAATTGATATTAAGGAGAGTTTAAGATCAATCAAAGGATGAAATTAAGCTTCTTGCAAGCAAATAATAGGTATATTTGTAGGTAGTAAACTATCACCAACATGCCTTTCATGAATAGACATATTTTTGCATGATTAGACGTGTCATTTAATCAATAAACATGTCCCTAATTAAGGATGTCAATTTCTACTAGCTAAAAGTACCTATTCAAAGATATGTGACCTAATTTGGACAATCATTTGATATAATTTTCACAAAATCTCATGTCTTTTAAAATAACAGGCAAGTTAAGCTTTGAGTTACTCAAAACAAAATTCAACAGCGTTTAGATGAGCAGTATTCTATGATTGGAATTTGATATCCCAATTAAGTAACAAGTCAATTCAAAACCCTTTCTTGCTCGGAATTATGTAGGTTTAATTTCATATTCAATTAAATTACAGTTAACAACAATTAATATAAGTCCCATTATTTTGAACAAAAAGGAGGAAATCTGCAAACAATATAAATACATTTAAAACAACAAATTAAAGGTAGGGAAGGGCTGAGGATGATGACAGAAGACTAGAGAGCACAAAGGATTAAGGTGCAGAAAGCTTCCAATTAGCATCTTATCATCATCTGTGCTCTCTATCTTCTGTCAACAGCATCTCCCACTTGCCTCCTCTCTTTTTACACTTACAGTCATACGTCAGTGACAGATCTAACAATAAGTTCACGAGTTTGGAAAAATCTAGTACTTCAAGGTCGAACCTGTATATATGGAAGAAAATATAAATAAATATAAATAAAGTTAGATATATATATATATNCATAATAGTGAATATAGTTGAAGGAGATAATTGAAGATTATGGAGCACATGAGAGGATAAATCAAGGACCTTTAATGTGCTCTCAACCTTCAGCTCACTGCATCTTGCTCCTTGTCTTTCTTCCTCTCCCTATGCTAGGTTCTAGCTCTAGGGACTAGGACGTAGAAAGACAAGTTTTTTCCCCTTTCTTTTTATAGGGAATTTTGTTTGGAGGTTTTCTCATATGGAGGGGAAGTTAGCTAGCTATCTAGGATTTGTAGCTAGCTTAGGATGGTTTGAGGGTTTCCAAGCACCTCTATTTATACAGGACAAATGGTACAACTAGTAAAGCACACTGCTTTCTTTTTTTATGTTTTTATATACACTCACATACTATAGAAGTTTACGTTACCAATGTAATTTAATTGGTTATAACAAGTTATTACTCTATTTTTGTAGACTACTTTATCAAACTTGATATAAAAAATGTTATTCTATGTGAACTTAACTTAATAATTTGAAAACAAATTACAGTGTCAGTGCACAATGCAAACATAGACTCTACTTTTTATCTTTTTTTGATAGGATAGAATTTTATTATCGGAGTATTAGACATATCATTACAATATTAGTGGCTTGTTTAATTTTTTTTTTAAGAGCTGATTAAGTTAGAGTCCATGGCATTTGTGAAAAGAGAACATTATCTCAAAATCAGTCAAAACACTTTATAAATCTGTGGGGTTACGAGGAGTATATATTTTGCATTATTGCCATGCGTCACGTAAAGCTTTAATTTCGTCTATAGTGGATTAATTAGAATAAGCACCATCAGATGGAGTTTTTTTGTGCCAAAGGAATCAAGACTTCTTTGTATTAAAGAGCTAATTAAATTTTTTTTTAAAGTGTTATTAGGCACAAAAGAGGTTTGAGGTGTGAAACCATAATATTCTATAGCTAATCATGACGTGTTTTCTTCTCTTCTTAAGGGATTTACCTTTCAAATGTAACTCAAAAAATATTTAAGTTGTATGTTATGACAGTGTGAAGATTTTCTCACACTTCAAAGTAGTTTAACTTGTGAAAGTAGGTTTGTTATCATTTTTATCGTGTTAATAATTAATGTTTATTATAAAGATTATGTCATTAACATATAAGTGATCGAAAAATTTTACACTGTCACTACTCATAACTTAAACTCTTAAAAATTTATCCTAGATAGAAGTATATTTTTCTTGTGCAGAAGAATGAGCTACGTATACTAGCTAGTGTCAGAGAGAGAACGAGACTTTTGATGGTATCCATAAGAAATTTAATTTTTCAGCAGAATCCCTTAGCATTATATATTAATGATTGCTTATATTGTCTCCAAATATGTTAACTATATTTGAGGGGCAAAATGAAAATGAAAGAAGCCAAAGTATTGGGTTCAGGGAATAGCTAGGCATAAGACAGGCATGGCAAGTGGCCAAGAAACATGGAGAAAAAAAGTGAAAGTATTGGAGCATCCCCTATCACAATTTTCTTATCACAATTCATTATCCCTTTCCCCACATTTGTCCATTATATTCACTGTCCCATCTTATCCATCTCTATCATATTCCAATTTTTGGTTTGTATTATATTCTTCTTCTTCTTCTTTTGGCCATCTAAATAAGCTGTGTAGGCTCGAAAATTTTGGAGTAACGGTAAAGTTGTCTCCGTGTGTGACCTATTATGGGTTCAAGTCATGGAAGCAGCCACTAATATTTGCATTAGGGATGTAGGTTGTCTACATCACATTTCTGAGATACGGTCCTTCTTCGGATCATGTGTGAATGCAGCTTATGCACGGGGCTGCTCTGTTTTGGGCTGGACTCATATTCCACTTGTCTTCACCCCAAAAGCTTAAGCATTATTCCTCTTGTAGTCAAATCACTTTTAGAACTAGAGTTAGTTCAGTTTACGGGAGTTTGGAGTTTTCTATTTACGTTTATACTCCGTCCGTTCATTTTACCGGACAGTACTTGCATTAGAGACGACGGAGTTAGAAAAAGAAAGCAACAAAACTTTTGACTTAAAAAGATCTCTATGTTATAAGAGAAATCAATAAGTTGGATGTCTACTCTTCCTCCGTGATCTTCTCAAATGCTTAATGACATATTCAATGACATATTTCTATGTTTAATGACATATTCAATGTC